AAAACTAAGTTTTGAATAGTACTGACTCAAGCAAGGCACATACCTGGCAGGGACCTCTATGCAATTAAAACTGACCACGTTTTTAAACCCAGCAGACACTTCCACAGAGAGAAGATGTGGCACCTGCCATGCAGTCTTTTACTCATGTGAATAATCTCACTGACGTCAGTGGGTTTTTTTGTCCTCACACGTGAAGGTGTTTTCAGGCTAAGTCATGTCGGTTTTGGAGAGTCTTGCAATAGCTTATTCTAAGATCAGGACTCGGCTCTTCGTTGTGGTGGTGAAGTTCACAAACCTATATTACTTTCTTTCCAGTCCAGGTGGGCAGAGTCATGAAGATGTAAAGAATAATATTACTCAAGGTTTGATTTACAGTGTTTCCAAAGACAGTAATAAGGACTCCAGTTTTTTCCATGCAAGAAATAAATAAAGTGACTTACTGGGGAGTGATGACAGCCATTGCAGGCTATCGATGAGACAGACTAAACCTGGCAAAGCCATGTGTGTGACTGATTTCTGCTCTCACATAGGCCAGTATGAACTGAAAATACTCCATGTGACACCCATGCCATTTATACCAGTTAATGGAAATAAAATCAGAATATAACTGGATATATTGTGTTTAAAGATAAGCAGCTGACGGATGTATTTGAGTCCTTTCCTGACTGATAACCACGGAACATACAAGCTCTCTGTATGATCTGTTTTCTGCACATGCCTCCTGATACTATTGAGTGTTGAATAGGCATGAAGGAGTTTATTCTTAACTCTTCCTGGAGAAATAAAGGAGTATAGTAGTTTTAATCTTGTTATACAGATGCAGGATTGAGGAATAAAAAACTTGCATGTTTTGTTGTAAGGGCAAACAGAAGCCTTCACAAAAGGGGCAGGTCCAGAACTAGGAACCAAATCTCGTGTTGTGGTTTAACCCAGCTGGCAACTAAGCACCACGCAGCCCCTCACTCAGTCCCCGCCCCCCTCCCCCCCCCGTGGGATGGGGGAGAGAATCGGAGAAAAGGAAAAAAAGTAAGACCCATGGGTTGAGATCGAGACAGTTTAATAAGAGAGAAGAATAACAATAGTGATGATAATAATGGTAAGAGAATATACAGACTATATAAAACAAGTGATGCACAATGCAATTGCTCACCACCCGCTGACCAATGCCCAGCCCGTCCCGAGCCGCGATCACACAGCCCGAGCTCTGATCACTCTGCCCGCGACCGACCAACCAACTAACCCCCCCGAGCATGACGTTCTATGGTATGGAATAGCTCTTCGGACAGTTTGGGTTAGCTGTCCTGGCTGTGCTGTACTCCCAGCTTGTTATGCACCTGGGCGAGCAGGAGAAGCTCAAAAAGTCCTTGAGTAGTGTGAGCACTACTTGGCAACAACTGAAAACATCAGTGTGTTATCAACATTATTCTGGTACTAAATCCAAAACACAGCACTATGCTAGCTACTATGAAGAAAATTTACTCTATCCCAGCTGAAACCAGGACATCTCGGTTTTTGCAGCAAATGGAAAGTTAACGGTCTCCGTCCCTCTGCCTTCCAAATCGCACTGAGCTAGGGGCAAGAGGGAGCACGCCGGCAGTGTTGTAATGCTTTAGATCTTGTAAAGATACAGTCTGTGGGTTCTGCATGCCGAGATTGGCTCATCTGCTGCAGTCAGTGTTTCTGTTTTGAAACTTCATTTACCACAGCAGAAACCACACTGGGAGGAGGGAAATTAAAAAAAAAAAAAAAAATTTTCAACAAAACCCCACCTTTACATGTTACTACTTTAGAAATATTTTAATGTCACAGACAAATGCATGACTCTTGCTCTTTTAAAATGTGCTTGAGGAATATACATGGTTTTATGCAAGGATGGACAAATGTCAAAAGGTACAGGCAAACAAAAACTATTCAGAAAACCAATGGAAGTAATTTCCTTGTCTGTGATGAGCTAGCTGCCCCCCACCAGTTCAGTTCAGTGACTGTGGATTGGCCTGATAAGCAGTACACATTTAAAAAACCCCTAAAGAAAAAAAACATGTAAAAAGTGAGCTGTTAAGGACGTTTTTAGCTGTCCTTTACCTGATTTAGCAGTACCCCTGCCAAATCTGTTAATACACAGTGCAAAGCCAGATTTCACAGATAGTGTAAGACCTGTCAGATGGGGCTGGCAGTGACCTTAAGAGATCACCCAGTCTGTTCCACTATGCCTAGACAGAATCAGCTAAATTAGTGTCATTTCTGGCAGATGTTTCTCAAATCTGCCCTTCGAAAAATCCAGCAGCCCACCCAGGTGACCCATCCTCGTGTGTCGCTCCTCTTCCCACAAGGGGTTACTCCCAGCACCTCCTTTCTTGTTGAAACTGAACTCCGCTCCTTTTCCTCCTTGTTCATGGAGGATAGGTTATCTTTCTCCTGTAAAGACTTACAGTGTTCCCCACCACCCCTCCCCAGACAAGGTGGATCTCTGTTAAGTTTAAGTGCCGAGGAAGCAGAGATCAAGGTTGATGGGCTTGACCAACATCTCCTCTGGAGGGGGAGAGATGCGCCCAGTCTGGTCCATTCTAACTATAGAGAGAGGAACCAACCTATGGGAGAGTTTCCTCTTCCTCTGCTCTTATGACCACTGCAAAGTAGATGCCTCGCTCAGAGCCAAAGCTACCAGAAACAAATCTCCACATCATCTGCTGCCGTTTAAGGGCTAGATTTTTTTTCATCTTCCCTCCAGCGGTGTTTGGACCGTGCAGTATATACTGTATTCTCCTCCAGACTCTGTTTTATTCTTAAATCTTTCCTCGTTGGGCTTTTTAGTTTTTCCTCATTGTTTTTTAATGAGAAGCCTTTTATGGCTTTGATTCCCAGCAATCTAAGAAAATACCTACGTTGTATTTCCTCCTACTTGGGAATTGCAGCAGAAAGTTTGTTTGTGCCTCAGTCCCTCCCTCCCTTTCTACATGGATTGCCTGGTTGGCTTTCTCAGGGCTTGGGCAGGATTGTGTGACTTCTGAATTTTTATTTATTTTTTAAAAAAATTTCTTATTCCCGATTGTTAGTTATGCAGTTGATGGGTTTCCCAAAGTCTCATACCCTTTAATGCTGGGATGTGGTACAAAGAATGAAACTTGATGCATGGATGATTTCTCATAGTCCATGTAATGCTGGTTTTGTTTTGGTTTCAGTAGCGTGCATGTTAGGGGGTTCGGAGCTTCTCTGTTTTACTGAACAGATGTTGCAAATTTTAGGCTGTTTTCTTTGCTCTCTTGGGCAGCTTCATTTTTACATTTGGATTAGTTTCACCTAAAGCAGTTGCAGAGGACGTTTATTTTGGTGGAAATTAAAACTTTTCGTTTTCTCAGCTCTGTATCTCCCACTTGGAAGCAAATGTTAGACTAAGGCAGGTTCCTGGAGGTCTCTTCTTGCTGCTTTTGCATCCCCTGCCATCCTGAAACTTTTTTCATTTCATTATAACTGAGTCTGTAGTTTGAGCTTTTGCAAGATGATGGTCACTGGGCATTTCTGTGTTCAAGGAAATAGGACTTTCTACATACTTTTTGTAAATAAATAAGCTTGCCCTAAGGACTATATCTGACGAAAATTGTTCCCTGACTAGAAAGAATTTGAAAGCCACTGAACACTAGCTAACTGCTAGAGATAAAAGAAAGCAACATTAGAAATACCCTCCATAAACAGCTTTATGATCTGAAGATACAGATGCAGGCATATGCCAGAGTTTGTTTTGAACATTAACATACAGCTAGAGGCTTGGAAAACCCAGAGTTTCCACTGAGACAGTTTAAAGTAATTGGTCTCTACAGAATTGCAAGGAGATTGTTTTAATAAATGTGTTGAAGAGAAAAGCTTTTACTGTTTGGCTCAAAGACAGGTAGAAGCCAGCAAGTTAATCAGGAAAATGGTGGTGACTTTTACTTACAAAAGTAACTATATGTTGCGTATACAGGGGGATGGATGCTGTTACTCTAGTAATAGTGAAATATACTACAAAAAACCCCTTAAGGTCTGCTTAAGGAAGTAACAAAGATCAAGGACTATTAATTCAGACAGGTTCCCACTGTTTGTGTTAATATGCTTTATTTCCCCCTTTGTTTCTTTTTCTTAAGAACTAGAATTGCATCCCTGGAGGAAGACCTTAAGGGGTTTTGAGAAGTCCTGAAGAACCACAGATTCACTTTTTCTCTTCCCTGTTACTCTCTTGTGGCCACTCGCAATGAGAAGCTCCATTCCACCAGCTGCAGCTTCAGGGCTGGTCTTGGGGTCGCTCCCATGGGCGCAGCTCTCATGGCAGGAGGTGCTGGGGGTTCAGTCACAACTTGAACTTGGGATTCTGCCCCTGTGCCCCTGTGCCTCCCTTTTGCAAGCAGTTTAGCGATGTGAGCATCTCCATTAAATTTATTAGGTTAGGAGTATATATTAGGAAGACGTGAAATGGAGTTCTTAAGAGCCCTTGATGTCTTGGCTTATTCATTTCGAAAGCTGGTACAGCAAAGAACAATTTGGATGAGTGACCTAACAAGTAGGTGCTCACTTTTGACTTTCTGGAGAATCAGCGTGGCAGATTAAATGGCGCTGGGGCTGTTGCGATCATCCAGCTTGATTCTCCAGCATGAAGTCATACTTCTGTTTGTCAAGCTGTGTTTGCAGTAGGCTTCACAGGTCTTTTTAAAAATGCCTGGTTTGATACTTCCATGCCAATGTCTGTCATAAATAGTGAAGCCATTTTTGCTAGAGAAAAAACACAATCATACGGATGGAACTTGGGACTGCACTAGCTAGGGACGCTTTTGAAAAAAAAATTAACTTCCATGACCAACAACCTTGTGCTTTAGTGATAAGAAAGGCAGTATATAGAATTTTATGGCTTGCTTAAAAATAAGTATCTTTTTTTGTTCACTTGGAAGCATATATATTTGCAGATTCTTAGTATATGTTGTTCCTTTCTTATTTTCTTTCTCAGGAGAGTTGTATTGTTCTTTGCCCAACCCTAGGAATGTCCATTTTGAATCTATAAACATGAGGAATGTCCTTCACTGGTCAGCACCAGAAGGCACAGGAGATGGAGTACTCTACAGGGTGAAGTATTCAGTGTAAGTTGCCTTGTTTATTTGATCTTTCACTGACTTTTATTTCAGTATTTTAAATAATAATTTAAAAATCTTTATGCAAGGTAGGTCTGCTAAAAAGTAAAGAAAGGAGAACTAAAATGTGGGTTAGCCTTAAGCAGTATGTTTATTAACTTTTACTTCTGGTACTGCCTACTTCAGTTAAAAAAATTTATAAGGACACTTTCTTCCTATTAAAGAAGTGCAGGATGCAACATGGATGCTTTCAGGGGCGTTCCTGAGAAATGAGACAGAAGGACGAAGAAGGGCTGTGCTGTGGATTGGCATCTGTACACATTAGCCTTCTGTACACTTTTAAACAGATCTGGACATGTCATATTTAATAGAATATTAACAGTACCCAGTGTTTCATTGGTCTTTTCAAACAGACCCAACTCCCACAGATCTTGTGATCCCACAAGCCTCTCTAGTCTAGGAGAAAATCCACTGAAATTATCAAGTGTTGTAGACAACCAAGTGGTGTTGTAGACAACCAAGTGGTGTGATTGGAATCAGGCCCTTCTATTTTCAAGGTCTTCACCTTTGTAGGATATCAAGGAATTTGAGTGAGGACCAGAATCCATTTCTCTTATTCCCACCGAGAGAGCACTGGGTCATTCTGCAGGGCAGTGCTGTAAGTTTAGCTTATAAATGGGCATAGCACTGTAGTCATGGACGATGTAATGTTCCCAATCCTTATCTCTAATATGAACGCTTCTTCGGTCTAGTAATTTTTTCATGACACTAAACCAAATTTAGATCTCCACAAGTCTCCTGTCGCTTGTGCTGGCTGCTAAAAAAAAGCAAGGAGTTGCTTCTGTAGTCAGAGACTGCAGACTCTCTTTCCCAGATCTTGCTCATTGTGCTAACAGAGGAGCAGCATAGTCCACCTCCCAGAAAGGGGGAGAGTGCTCAGTAATTACAGAATGAACGATAGTTGTGTAGAAGGTGGAATGCTCAGAAAGCACTAGCTATGCTGCCTCTGCAAGGTCAGCTGGTCCACGGAGGGGTCTGTAGTCATAGGTATGGCCATCTCTCACACAGAAGACAAAAATATTCGTATGTGCTTCTACCTGCCTAGAAGAGTGAGGACTTGAGCTGGGTAGAAAATGCTGGTGAGTGATACTGTCCTGCAGTCATGTAGAAGCTGCCCCATGCCTTTACTAATTAGCAGGCCAAGGGGAATTCCTTTCAGCATAATGTGAATTTGAGGAGCAGGAGCTTCTTCCAGACAGGAAGTTTCCAAGGAAACCTTGATTTCTTCTATTAGTGTGTAAGAGTTGCTCAGTACTGAGGCATTGTTTGTGGCATGTATATGCCCCTTTTTCAACTCAAAGGGTTTTGAAGTTTATTGTGTTCCAGTGGAGCCTTTCTTTTAAACAAGAAAAAGAAGTAAACGTCAGTGATGAGTAGTCTCCTGTCCACTCATCTTGAAGACCCTGGGCATAATCTGTCTCCATACACCAGGATGAGCCGCTGACCATCCTGACAGAACTCTTTGTCTCTATATAAATAGTTACCCTGATTCTGTTATCCTGTGTTTAAACTAAAGCTGTGGAGACTGAAGGTGAGGGATCTCTGGTCTGTGTAAGCAAAACTGGACTTAGATTGGTATCAGTAACAACCCAGTTAGTTCCATATGACCTCTTCTGCCTGGGGCCTTCTATGATTTATGTTTATATAAAACTTGTGGAGATCTTATGTTTTATCTCAACTGAAGCTGGGAGTTCCTTGAAATTGCAGATTTCCGCAGAACAAGCAAATTGTTTTATTAGCGGTCGTATCAGTTTCTGTGCTATATTACCAGGTGACTAATATCATGGCAATAGCTTTTGTTCAGCTCCTTTCTCTTTCGATATAGATATGGTGTTGGCAAATGGATTAAAAAGCCAGAATGCAAGAATATCAACAGAACCTGGTGTGACCTCTCCAATGAGACCTCTGACTACGAAGAACAATACTATGCGAGCGTTAAAGCCTTCCTAAATGGGATGTGCTCTGACTGGATTGAGACCACACGATTCAACCCTCTTACAGACAGTAAGAAAAGCTCATCGCGCAGCCAGATGTTCAATGGCTTTGATTAATGCTGTGTGTTCAGACTGCGTGTGCCTTCATAGCGTATGATATTTTAATTTTAAAATGAGGTTAGATTTTTTTTTGCAGTTGTTCCACATTTGTGGTTTTGGCAGAAGTAATTGAAATAATCATATTAGAATTTGGATATATGTGTGTGATATATACGATCTTATAGATATTAAATACTCTTTTATGCTATGGTAAAGCTTTACTCGAGGCAAATAAAAGCTGTGGCACATCCGCAGTATAAAGAACTCTGATTTTGAAAAGGCTCTATTAAACCAAGCAGTAATCATACTCTAGAGCACAATATTTCTTATCTGTGCCAGATAATCTGAGAACATACTGGCAATTTAGCTTGTTTTAGCAAATTGAGTTTCAAGGTTGTTTATCCTGCGAAGTCACAGGAATTCCTAGGCAAAATTCCAAGTCACTGTCTACCTTCTCGCTGTAAAGATCCTCTTAGTTATCTGATAAAATAATTTCCTACCAATATAAATTAATTGTTTGAAGTCCTGCTTAGACTCCCCAGAATATGACAAAAATTTAGTATCATCCACTTCAAGAAACTGCATGGTGTGTGCCTCTGCTGCATTTGACTGCTTTTTGTGCATGTTCATTTTTCCAGCTAAAATTGATCCACCCATGGTAAGTGTGTCTTCCACTGAGAAATCTATTTCTATCATTCTGACTGCTCCTGAGAAGTGGAAGAGAAGTCCTGAGGGAGAGTCGATCTCTCTGCTTCAAGTGTATCCTGGCCTGCAATACAACGTGTCTGTCCTCAATAAGAAAACAAAAAAGCGGGTAAGCTTTGACAAGGCTGTAGAACTGTACCGGTTAAATCTGTGCTTCCTGAAATGTGCTTTG